AGAGCACTCCCCAGAGGGCCCCAAGAGGCAAAATTCATTACTTGTCCTTAGGTTTTGGGCAGATTTTGGCGTGTCCATCTTTTCGGCTTCCCGACGCCCCAAGACGGCCCAAGAGGCCCCCAAGATCGCCCCAAGAGGGCCCAAGAAGCTCCCAAGAAGGCCCCAAGATGGCCCAAGAGGGCTCCAAGACGGCCCCAGAGGCATCCAAGACGGCCCAAGAGGGGCCCAAGAGGGCCCCAAGCGATGCCCCAAAGGGGGAACACAAAACAAAACTTCGAGCCCTCGGCCTTAAGAAGCCCCCAGGAGGCCTCAAGAGGCCCCTGAGAGGCCCCAAAAGCCCCCAAGAGGCCCTCAGGAGGCCCCCAAGCGACGCTGAGGAGGCCCCCCAGCGGCCCCAAGAGGCTCAGTCATGCGAAATGGGCCGGCGGAATGAGCGAAACGATTCAATAAAATGATACCAGAGAAAAACCCAATCATAACCGTTTTAGGACTGTAGGGCATGGGGCTATAAGGCTATAGAACCATTGGGCTATAGGTCTGTAGGCCTATAGGGCTATAGGGCTATAGGGCTATAGGGCTACAGGGCTATAGCGCTATAGGCATATAGAGCGATAGGGCTATAGGAATATGGGGCTATAGGGCTATAGGGCAATAAGGCTATAAGGCTATAAGGCTATAGGGCTATGGGGCTATAAGGGCTATAGGCCTATATGGCTGTAAGGCCACTGGGCTGTGGAGCTATGGGGCTATAGGGCAATAAGGCTATGAGGCTATAGGGCTTCAGGGCTATAGGGCTATAGGGCTGTAGGGCTATATGGCTATAAGGCTATAAGGCAATAGGGTTATAGGGCTGTAGGGCTATAGCTACAGGGCTATAGGGCTATAGGGCTATACGGCTATAGGGCTATAGGGCTATATGGCTATAGGGCTATAGGGCTACAGGGCTATAGGGCTACAGGGCGATAAAGCACCCTGGCACCCGGGCACCTCCGGGCACCCCCAGGCACCTCTGGGCAACCCCGGGCACCCGGACACCCAGGCACCCCCGGGCACCCGGGCACCCGGGCACCCGGGCTGGCCACCGAAATCGGCGGCCCACCTCACCTAACCATATGAATCCGCTAGGACACCTACAGAGGCAAGCTCTGATTGGGGAAAAACTCGGGACACTGACGGGACACCACGGGACACCGACGGCACAACACAGGACACCCTCAGGACACCATCGGGGCACCAATCGATCTCATTTTCGACGCCGCAATCGCCGCTGTCCCGTCGTCGTCGAGCATCGAGGCAGGCTCGACGCTCAAAGGATCTCGAGTGATCTCGAGGATTTCTGGGCGTGCTTGGAGGCCTTCCAGGCTATGTGCGTTGTGCCCCTCTGGGGTATATGTCCGCCCTGTCCTGGACGCCTGACAAGTGCGTCATAGTGAAGCCAAGGCTGCCTCGGATGGCACCAGGAGGCCGCTAAGGCCGCCCAAGCTGCCTCCGAGACAGCGCCAGAAGGTGGACAAACCGCCCCGATAGGTGCCCGATAGGGGCTGAAGAGAGTCTCCATCCGCCCAAAATCACACGGCATTCCTATACATGCCTGTGTATAAGTATACCCCTGCATTACATTACATTACATTACACTACATGACATGACATTACATTACATTACAATACATTACACTACACTACACTACATTACATTACATTACATTACAATACATTACATTACATTACATTACATTACAATACATTACATTGCATCACATTACATTGCATTGCATCGCATTACAATACATTACATTACATTACATTACATTACATTACATTACATTACATTACATTACATTACATTACACTACACTACACTACACTACACTACACTACATTATATTACACTACAATACATTACATTACATTACATTACAATACATTAAAATACAGCTATATCACAATACATTACATTACATTCATCTACATCGCATTACATTACATTACAATACAATACAATACAACACATTGCATCGCATTGCATTACATTACATTACATTACAATACAACCTTACCTCAGATTACATTACACTACATTACATTACATTGCATTACGTTGCATTACGTTACATCACATTACATTACACTACACTACATTACATACATTACAGTATATTACATTACAATACACTACAATACATTACATTACACCACATTACATTACACTACAATACATTACACTACAGTACATTACATCACCTTACATTACAATATATTACGTTACAATACATTACGTTGCATTACGATACATTCCAGTAAGATACATTACATACATACATACATACGCACGTACATACATACATACATACATACATGAATGCATACAGACAGACAGACAGACAGACAGACAGACAGACAGACAGACAGACAGACAGAAACACAGACACACAGACACACAGACACACAGACACACAGACCCACAGACACACACACACACACAGACAGACAGACAGACAGGCAGACATGCACACACATACGTACATACATACATGCATGCATGCATACATACATGTATAAATGCATACGCACATACATGCATACAAGCATACGTGCATACCTGTATATAATAGAACCATCGCGCGCGCTTCGCGCGCGCTCAAGTTCTAGCTATGCTGGATGGTCGAACTCGTCGGGTTTCCTGCTGGGCTTCCAGCAGCCCAGGGCTGGAAATGTTCGTTCGGCCCCCGCCTGGACCGCTGAGCTCTTGGGGGCCTCTTTCCAGCCTTCTGGATGCTGCTTGAGGCCGCTTGGGGGCCTCTTGGGGGCCTCTTGGGCCCTCTTAGGGGCCTCTTAAGGCCTCCTCGGAGCATCCTGGACTGTTTCTTGAAGCCGTCATGGACCTTCTTGGCATGTCTTCGGGGGGCCTCTCAGAAAGAGTTTTGACGCCTTTTGGGTGCCGTCTTGGCGCCTCTTGGAGCCTCTTTTGGGCTTCTTGGGGGCCTCTTGGGGCCTCTTGGGGCTTCTCTTGGGGCCTCTTGGGGGCATCTTGGGGCGGAGAGCTTGATTTTTCAGTTCGCGGTCCCTCTCTTGGGCCCCTCTTGGGGCCTTCTTGGCACACTATTGCGCAGTCTTGGGCGGCTCTGGGGCAGTCTCGGGGCTCTCTTGGACCGTCTTGGGGCCCTCTTGGGGGCCTCTTGGGGCCTCTTGGGGGCCTCTTGGGGGCTTCCCGGGGGCCACCCTCTTGCGCCGTCTTCGGCGGTTAGGAACGGTTTTTCCCCACATCCAAAGTGGGGTTCTTGTTTTCTCTGGACACCCCGCGCAGGAACAGGAACACACACACACACACCCACTCACACTCACTCACACTCTCTCATCATCAACCTCATCAGCATCATCGATGATGCTCTCTCACATGCTTAGTCACTCACATACTCATCATCATCATCACTCGCACTCTCTCACACGCTCGCGAACATCATCATCATCATCATCGGCATCGGCATCATCCTCATTCAAACATCATCATCGCCACCACCACTCACAATCAATCATCATCCTCTTCACCACTCATCTTCACCACCACTCATCATCCTCATCCTCATCATCGTTGAGTAAATTGTGAGGAAGTCTCAGGCGGGAGCCCCCTCCCTATGGGGCCCGCAGATCATGTTGGTAATCCGAGCGGGTCATCGGAATCCTGTAACTGTCGTCACTTTTGAGCTCCCCAGGCCTGAAAATGGAGGAAGTCTCAGGCGGGAGCCTCGTCTGTGAGTGAATTGGGAGGAAGTCTCAGGCGGGAGCTCCCTCCCTATGGGGCCCGCAGATCATGTTGGTAATCCGAGCGGGTCATCGGAATCCTGTAACTGTCGTCACTTTTGGGCTCCTCAAGCCTGAATTTGGAGGAAGTCTCAGGCGGGAGCCTCGTCTGTGAGTGAATTCTGAGGAAGGCTCAGGCGGGAGCCCCCTCCCTATGGGGCCCGCAGATCACGTTGGTAATCCGAGCGGGTCATCGGAATCCTGTAACTGTCGTCACTTTTGAGCTCCCCAGGCCTGAAAATGGAGGAAGTCTCAGGCGGGAGCCTCGTCTGTGAGTGAATTGGGAGGAAGTCTCAGGCGGGAGCTCCCTCCCTATGGGGCCCGCAGATCATGTTGGTAATCCGAGCGGGTCATCGGAATCCTGTAACTGTCGTCACTTTTGGGCTCCTCAAGCCTGAATTTGGAGGAAGTCTCAGGCGGGAGCCTCGTCTGGGCGTGCCCCTTGTTTTCCTGCAGGCCGTTGACGAGTGCGGCACGATTCAGGGCGAGCCCGACGCGGGTCGGCGCCTCCTGAACGTCCCGAACATGCACAAGACGGGGGACATCCACGGCGCTTTGCCGGCCCACGTCGGCATGGAGGTGCGGTTCACGGCAGCGCAGGAGGAGCTGAAGAAGAAGTTGGGGCTCGTGCAGGAGCAGCGGGCCACCATCGTGTCCTTCGAGTTCCACCACGAGGACGAGCAGCGCTACGAGGAGTGCTCGGCAGGCCAGCTCTTTCGCCCCCGCTTCCTACCGCAGGGAATCTGGCTGCAGGTGCACGGCTTCAAGGAGTCTCCGATCTACCAGGAGGTCGCCGAGGTGCTGCGACAGGGCGCCGAAGGCGCCGACGACGACGGCCAGGCCGAGGCGCGAGCGCGGAGCTTGCTGATGTTCAGGCCCAGCGAAAGGGAGCTCACATGGCAGAGCTCGGGGGCGCACAGCGTGCGCCGCTCGGGGTTCACCCTGACGCACGCGTCCTACCTGACCTCCACGCTGTCGCAGGGCCAGACGCTGCGCAAGGGCGTCACCATCGACTGCGCGAGAGACGAGGACGCTGGCCGCACGGGCATGTCGGACGAGCAGTGGTGGCTGCACCTCTACGTCATGTTCTCCCGCGCCACGTGCATGCGGAACATGCTGATCCTGCGGCCGCCGCCGCGAGAGTTCCTGGAGTGCGGGCCGCCGGCGTCCCTGCGGAAGGCGCTCCTGGAGTTCGACAAGAGAGCGGTTTTGTCCAGGGCGGAGGCGAAGCAGCTCGCGGCAGAGCTGGGCTTCGTGCTGCCTTCCGCCTGAGCGCGGCTGCGCCTCGCTCGAAGCCCGCGGGGTTGTCCCAACGGCTTGGTCTTGCGCGCCAACGGCTCGCGGGGTTGTCCCGACAGCCTGGCCCGCGGGGTTGTCCCAACGGCTGCGCGACGTGACCAGTAGAGAACGCGCCTGTGCTGGCCGTGGCGGCGACGGCGCCGAGGAACATCGACATGCGCGCTCATGCAACAGGAAGGGGAGGAGGTGGCGGGGCGCGGAACAAACAGGGGGGCGAGGATGGGGACAACGTAAGGAGTGGAAGGGGGGCCCGCGCCAAGGCGAGAGGAAATATACGCAGAAGAGACAGCCAGGACGCCTCACCAACCACAAGGACGACGGTGATGGTTTTTTCCAGATTCGCCCAGAGGATTCTTATGTGGGGTTTTTCCGTCGGAGTAATTTTTTAGTAGGCACAAAATGCAACAGGCACTGTCTGCTGCGGTGCGAACGGACATGGCCCCCCCTGCTACATGCGGGTGTATGCCACTGTCTGCATTACGAGCCTCAACGGTGCCCCCCTGCTATCTGCAGGTGGCAAAGTTTATACACGTCCACTGTCTCTGGCCACGCCCCATCAGCGGGCTCGATGGCCAGCCCTTTGCTCGTTCTGACGAAGACTTCCCAGGACATGGTCTGGGTACAGGCCCCGCCGCCCTGCACAGGGCGACAAGCTCTACACACATCCTCTGTCTCTGGCAAGGCCCATCCTGTGCCGAGGAGCGGTGTGGACACCCTCCCGGCGTGGCCAGGGAGGCGTCCATGCACCACATAATCGCAAGCCAGCCTGCCAACTGCAATTGGAGCAGAAATTGGAGACCGCTGCAGCACCCTCGCAACCCTCACCGCCCTCACCGCAACGCACAGGAAGTCCGCCCAGTATTATCGTTGGCCCAACATGAGCAAGCACCGTTAAGCACGATTGTACCCCCGATAGTAACCAAGAACGGCGACGCCGTGAAGCAGCCTATGACAGTAAACGCGCAGACCAAAAAGCCGATGGCCATGGCGGCGGCACCTCCTGCCATGAGCCCAATCTGTTCACCTGTGCACGCAAGCCTGAACCGCCGCCTGCGCCGCCTGGTTGATTTCTGCGTGAGCGCGACATCCATCCCCTTGGCCAAAGAAGCTTTGCGTAACTGCGCATCCAAGCGCCTCTGTAGGGAAGCCGGCATCTCCTGCGTTTTGAGCACCTCGACCATCTCTTCACGGCTCACCCAGACGATCTCCGTCCCGGAAGGGATCTCGAAGGCCAGGGTGTGACCCACAGGTGCCTCGCTGACGAAATCGAACTCCATGCCCAAGAACGTGTCTGGGCTTTGCGCTGAAATTGCGAACGTGGTGTTCTCAGCCTTGTACGACGCGGTGCTGTTCCCCACGGACTCCACGCGCTCACTGTCATGAGGGCACTGCTCAGTAACGTTATCAGTGTCTTCTACGAAGAACATCTTCAGCATCACAGGGTTCGCTGTTCTGCGGTATTCTGCAGGTACGTCCATCAACATTGCAGGAGCATCGTCGGTGTTAGCCCCCATAAACGTCACGATTTCTGGCATGTCAACTGCAGCATCTGGGTCGGGGGTTAAGACTGTCTTGATGATATTCCCACGATACTCCACTGTGGCCGTCACGTTCAAACCTCCATGCCCTGTGTAATAGCAGATGTTGCCATTGGGGCAAGGCAGCAAACCGCCTTTATAGCCGCAACCACTATTGGCCAGCTGGCTAGCATACTTGCGCCACGTCTCGGCCGCACGGGCATGGAGCTCGGTCTCTGACGCGGCGTGTTGGACCATGAGGTGCTGGAGGTCTACCATGCCACTGCGACTGCCAGCTTCTTCCGCTGCGGCGCCATGACCAGCACGCCTGAGCAGTGCCTCATCTGCGGCACTCTCCAGCGTCAAAGCCTGCAGTGGCAGGGCGACGTTAGCAAATAGTAGAAGGTGGAAGATAGCCTTGAACACCATGGGCTCACCTTATCACGTATGTGCGCAGTACTGCAAATAACTTGGTGTGACTTGTGCGGTCTTGAGCCAAAATGGCTGTCTGGGAACGGTTTTGGGAGCCTCTGAGGCGGTGCTTCAGCGGCGGAAACACGAAACAGCGAGAATGCAAAACATATTGAATGAGAATTGCAAATCCACGATTTTGCCTTCTCCGGGCGTTCTTGGGCTGCATCTTACAAGCCTCTTGGGGCGTCTTGGGGGCCTCCGGGGCAGTTTAAAACGCATCGTGCGACCTCTTGGGTGGTTTCGTGGGGCCTCTTGGGGGCTTCCTGGGTGCCTCTTGGGGCCCCTTGGGGGCCTCTTGGGCCCCTTTTGGGTCCTTCTGGGGACCCTCTTGCGCCGTCTTGGGCGGCTCTGGGGCCGTCTGGGGCTCTCTTGGGCCGTCTTGGGGCTTTCTTGGGGGCCTCTTGGGCCGTCTTGGAGCGGTTTGGGGAGCCTCTTGGGCGGTGCTGTAGCGCTGGAAACACGACACAGCGAGATTAAAACATTGGAAAAAATAATGAAAATCAGCGATTTTGCCGCCTCGTGGCGCTCTTGGGCGGCATCCACAAGGCCTCTTGGGTCATCTTGGGGGCCTCCGGGGCAGTTTAAAACGCATCGTGCGACCTCTTGGGTGGTCTCGTGCGGCCTCTTGGGGCCTCTTGAGGGCATCTTGGGGCGGAGAGCTCGATTTTTCAGTTTGCGTTGCGTTGCCTCTCTTGGGCCCCTCTTGGGGCCTTCTTGGGACCCTCTTAGGCTGTCTTGGGCGGCTCTGGGGCCGTCTCGGGGCTCTCTTGGACCGTCTTGGGGCCCTCTTGGGGGCCTCTTGGGCCGTCTTGGAGCGGTTTTGGGAGCCTCTTGGGCGGTGCTTTAGCGAAGGAAACACGAAACAGCGAATGCAACAAATATTACAAAAACAATGAAAGTCACAAATTTTGCCCTCTCGGGGTTCTCTTGGGCGGCATCTTAAAGGCCTCTCGGCGCGTCTTGGGGGCCTCTGGGGCAGTTTAAAACGTATCGCGAGGTTTCTCCTGGTCCAGATGGCTCCAAGATGGCCCACGGTAGCCTCCAAGACGGCCAAGATGGCCTCCAAGTTCGCCCAAGATGGGCTAAGATGGCCTCCAAGACGGCCCTAGCGAGTCCAAGATGCCTCGAAGTCCTCCCAAGAAACCTCCAAGACGACCCAAGACGGCCCCGAGGCCTCCAAGAGGCCTCCACGACGGCCCAAGCAGCCTCCAAGACGGCCCGCGAGACCTCCCAGAGGGCCTCCAGAAAGGCCCGAAGAGGCCGAAATCATTGATTTGCCCGAGGTTTTTGAAAGATTCTGGCATTTGTTTTTCCCAACCCTCCTCGGTTGGGTATTCGTTTTGAATCATGCATTTTGCTCCCTTTTTCCTCCTTCCCGCCTCCCTCCTGCCTCCTCCAGTCTTGCCTCAGAGGGGGGGGGCTGCAATCGGTGAAACTGTCGCCACTTTCGAAGCCTGCTGGGGGGTCCAGCACACTGACGTCTTACGCAGATTCAAATGGGACCTCGCTATCCCTGGGGGGCTGCGATTTGTGAACTGTCGTCACTTTCGAAGGCTGCTGGGGAGTCCAGCACACTGACGTCCTACGCAGATTCAAATGGGACCTCGCCATCCCTGGCGGAGTGCGATCTGTGAAACTGTCGTCACTTTCGAAGCCTGCTGGGGGGTCCAGCACAGTGATGTCCTACGCAAATTCAAATGGGACCTCGCCATCCCTGGGGGGGCTGCGATCTGTGAAACGGTCGCCACTTGCGAGGCCTGCTGGGGAGTCCAGCACACTGACGTCCTACGCAGATTCAAATGGGACCTCGCCATCCCTGGGGGGCTGCGATCTGTGAAACGGTCGCCACTTGCGAGGGCTACTGGGGAGTCCAGCACAGTGACGTCCTACGCAGATTCAAATGGGACCTCGCCATCCCTGGGGGGCTGCGATCTGTGAAACGGTCGCCACTTGCGAGGGCTACTGGGGGTCCAGCACAATGACGTCCTACGCAGATTCAAATGGGACCTCGCCATCCCTGGGGGGCTGCGATATGTGAAACTGTCGCCACTTGCGAGGCCTGCTGGGGGGTCCAGCACAGCGACGTCACACGCAGATTCAGATGGGACCTCGCCATCCCTGGGGGGCAGCGATCTGTGAAACTGTCGCCACTTGCGAAGCCTGCTGGGGGGTCCAGCACACTGACGACCTACGCAGATTCAAATGGGACCTCGCCATCCCTGGGGGGGTGCGATCTGTGAAACTGTCGCCACTTTCGAGGCCTGCTGGGGGGTCCAGCACACTGACGTCCTACGCAGATTCAAATGGGACCTCCATCCCTGGGGGGGTGCGATCTGTGAAACTGTCGCCACTTTCGAAGCCTGCTGCGGGGTCCAGCACACTGACGTCCTACGCAGATTCGCACGGGACCTCGCCATCCCTGGGGGGGTGCGATCTGTGAAACTGTCGCCACTTTCGAAGCCTGCTGGGGGGTCCAGCACAGTGACGTCCTACGCAAATTCAAATGGGACCTCGCCATCCCTGGGGGGGCTGCGATCTGTGAAACGGTCGCCACTTGCGAGGCCTGCTGGGGAGTCCAGCACACTGACGTCCTACGCAGATTCAAAGGGGATCTCGCCATCCCTGGGGGGCTGCGATCTGTGAAACGGTCGCCACTTTCGAAGGCTGCTGGGGGTCCAGCACAGTGACGTCCTACGCAGATTCAAATGGGACCTCGCCATCCCTGGGGGGCTGCGATCTGTGAAACTGTCGCCACTTTCGAAGGCTGCTGGGGGGTCCAGCAAACTGACGTCCTACGCAGATTCAAATGGGACCTGGCCATCCCTGGAGGAGTGCGATCTGTGAAACTGTCGCCACTTGCGAGGCCTGCTGGGGGGTCCAGCACAGTGACGTCCTACGCAGATTCAAGTTAGACCTTGCCATCCCTGGGGGGGACGATCTGTGAAACTGTCGCCACTTTCGAGGCCTGCTGGGGGGTCCAGCAAACTGACGTCCTACGCAGATTCAAATGGGACCTCGCCATCCCTGGGGGACTGCGATCTGTGAAACTGTCGCCACTTTCGAGGCCTGCTAGGGGGGCCAGCAAAGTGGGGCCCCGCGGCGGACTCAAATGGGACCTCCCAAATGCTGGTCGCAGAAATACATACGTCCATGTCTCGTCGTCACCCCCTTATGACGTCGCCCAAGCTACTCATGCCCAGCATTGCGCAAGGGTTGGGTACGTCGCCAGGGTAACTTTCGGCCTTCTGACGGCCCGAGCCGGCCCAATAGCCCCCAAAGATCGCACCGAGATCGCCCAAAAAGCCTCCAAGATGGCCCCAGAACGGCCCAAGAGGCCCCCAAGAGGCCCCAAGAGGGCTCCAAGAGGGCCCAAGAGGCCTCCAAAACGCCCAAGATGGCCTCCAAGACGGCCCTGGAGCACCCCAAGAGGGCCCTAAGTCGGCCCAGGGCGGCCCCCAAGACGGCTTCCGACGGCATCAGACGAGCCAGGAATGCCCTAAGACGGCTAAAGAGGCCCCCGAGAAGCCCCCAGAGGTCCCCAACAGGCCCAAGGAGGCCCCCAGGCTCGCAAGATGCCCCCTCCTCCTCCTCCTGATCTTCCACGCCATCCTCCCCCAAGTGTTCCCCGCCGAAGGGTTTCTACAACGACTGAGGGAACACATGGTCCGATAGCTTGGTAGAGCTCTTGCCACAACGCTCAGCCACATGGGCGATTCCAAAAGGCAGGGGGCAGCGGTAATTTCCCGTAGGCGTCTTCGATACCTGTACTACCACCCTTCGGGTGGTGAGGAGGTTGGTGGGATGAATTCGCCGGCCCAACGGGCCAGAGGCGTGCTAAGATCTCCGGTAACTGCTAAATAATACTTCTACTTCGCGCGCGCGGGGCGGCCCCTGGGGGTCCCCGGACGAAAAGTACCCCGGGCGATCCCCGGCAGGGTCGGGTCAGAGATGGTTTTCCTCCTGGGCGCCGCCCCCGTGGCCCTCCAGAGAGCCCCAAGAAGGGCCACGAGGCCGCCAAGAGCCCTCCAAGATGGTTCAAGAGTGCTCCAAGATGCCACACGATCGTTCCAAGACGCCCAAGATGGCCCCCAGACGCCCCAAGAGGCCTCCAAGAGCACTCCTCAGAGGGCCCCAAGAGGCAAAATTCAATACTTGTCCTTAGGTTTTGGGCAGATTTTGGCGTGTCCATTTTTTCGGCTTCCCGACGCCCCAAGACGGCCCAAGAGGCCCCCAAGATCGCCCCAAGAGGGCCCAAGAAGCTCCCAAGAAGGCCCCAAGATGGCCCAAGAGGGCTCCAAGACGGCCCCAGAGGCATCCAAGACGGCCCAAGAGGGGCCCAAGAGGGCCCCAAGCGATGCCCCAAAGGGGGAACACAAAACAAAACTTCGAGCCCTCGGCCTTAAGAAGCCCCCAGGAGGCCTCAAGAGGCCCCTGAGAGGCCCCAAAAGCCCCCAAGAGGCCCTCAGGAGGCCCCCAAGCGACGCTGAAGAGGCCCCCCAGCGGCCCCAAGAGGCTCAGTCATGCGAAATGGGCCGGCGGAATGAGCGAAACGATTCAATAAAATGATACCAGAGAAAAACCCAATCATAACCGTTTTAGGACTGTAGGGCATGGGGCTATAAGGCTATAGAACCATTGGGCTATAGGTCTATAGGGCTATAGGGCTATAGGGCTATAGGGCTATAGGGCTATAGGGCTATAGGGCTACAGGGCTATAGCGCTATAGGCATATAGAGCGATAGGGCTATAGGAATATGGGGCTATAGGGCTATAGGGCAATAAGGCTATAAGGCTATAAGGCTATAGGGCTATGGGGCTATAAGGGCTATAGGCCTATATGGCTGTAAGGCCACTGGGCTGTGGAGCTATGGGGCTATAGGGCAATAAGGCTGTGAGGCTATAGGGCTTCAGGGCTATAGGGCTATAGGGCTGTAGGGCTATATGGCTATAAGGCTATAAGGCAATAGGGTTATAGGGCTGTAGGGCTATAGCTACAGGGCTATAGGGCTATAGGGCTATACGGCTATAGGGCTATAGGGCTATATGGCTATAGGGCTATAGGGCTACAGGGCTATAGGGCTACAGGGCGATAAAGCACC